TCATAGAAAAATTTATATATATTATGTATATAGAAGGTCATCTCCCCACTATTTTTTGGTACAAGCGCTCCCAAGGGGATTGTGAGGGAACTAATTAGGTTAAAGCGCGAAATTTAAATATAGGTATTTCTATACCGGTTTATACCATTACTTTATTTTGAAGAGGTCAAGCGCATTTTCCAAATAAATAGGAAAAAATATTAATTTAAAGTTTTTCCAAGATAATATTCATAATTTTTAACGTATATTGCTCTGATTGGCTGAGAGCGCCAATTTATCTATCGGATAAATTTATCAAGAGGTGGTAAAAATGGCCCTAACTTATTTAAATACTTAACTAAAGGATATAAAACACTAAGCCAAAAGAACGTAAGGAAGAAAATTTGCTTATACAACGGGGTTATCACACTAAACGACAAAACAAAAATGTGACGTTTGCTTTCACCTCTGAGTTTGACGGGTTTGACGTTACACATAAATTTTTCTATGGTTACAAGCGCTTTGTTTGTGTAGATAATACAGATTGCTGCAAATTCAGTCTACAACGTCATCCAGTGGATTGTGAGGGTACTAAATCTCGGTCTACATTTTTATAGTAGTAAGATTGCACACCATGGGATAAACGTAAGGTTTCAACAAAAAAGCTTCAATTCGGACAATTTTAGAGATAAATTAATGAATAAAAAAACAAAATGCTCATAAAAGAAACGTCTTTCATAGGGTGTAAGCACTTTCTATACCATTACTTGATTAATACACAGGGTGAGTCAAAAATTAGGAAAAAAACATGGTTCCACTTTTTCTACTACCATCCAGGAGTCATTGAAAAATTTCCGCCTTTTTAATTTTTTTGAAAGACAAAGGAATTGTCTACCAAGAAATAAAAAAATAATAAAAATCGGAACACTGGTTTAAAAAATATAAGATATTAAAATTTGGTCAAAAATCAAGTGCGTCACTTTTTTTGGAACTGAGTGTATTTCAAGCCAATGTTATGATACTAAATTTTAATTTGCCTTATATTACACCTAATTTAACAGTGGTTAACTCCCAATGTGAAAGAGAATTATGTGAATTTACCAATTTTTATAATTTGAAACAATGCAACTTTATTCCTAACAATTTAAACAGATTTTTAGATCTAATATTTTGTAATTTTGAGGTCAATATAACATTAAGTAATGAAGCGTTAGTTAAAGTGGATTTTTCCACCCATCTTTATGTGTTAATGCAATATTTCCAAGGAGAGCTACCAAATCACAGTTTCATTCAAACCTATACATTTATCGCTAGGCTGATTTTCCATTATTAATTGCTTTAATTAAAGATACTAATTGGTTAATTTTGGAGAATTTAAATACGGTGGATGAGGTGGTATCTAAATTTTATGAAATTTTGTACAGTTTATTGGATAGATGTGTACCTAGAGGTAAGGGCTCTGTTGATGGGCCTATTAGAGAGTATCTTAAGTGGTTTACATTTGATATAATAACAAAAATTAAGGCTAAACATAGGCACCGGCCTTAGATAGCAAACAACAGATGGACGTGGTATACACATCAATTACATCAAATTTGGTTTAATAAACTTCAAACTGGTAACCAAATTGTTGAGAACATTGCTTTAAATGCAAGGTCTATAGAACATAACGTTACCTAATTCCCTATGCCTCTGTAGTATCGATTATTACCCCGCAGATTGACGTCACTGGTTCGATACAGTCAGAGTAAAAGATAGCCTATACGTGCCTATACTGTGGTACAGTCTATATAAAATATTTAAACCTCGCATCGTGTTGTGTTGTTCATAGAACCAGCTACGTCACTGACCCACCTTGCCTCTCAGAGGAGGAGAATCGGTATTGGGTAACCTTATGTTCTATAGACCTTGGNTATGTATCCTTATAGTACGTTTAAAAATATTAATGACGTGTTTTTTTTTATTTGCCTCTGACCATCCCCTGCAAAGTTACGGGATATGATAGATAACCCCTTTCCTTAAGAATAATTGGATAAACTGTGATAAACAAATTTCAACAAAATCGGTGAGGGACAGTGCTGATCTTCCCTTGTTAGATATGGTGACACATAACTTATATTTCAAGCCAATGTTATGATACTAAATTTTAATTTGCCTTATATTACACCTAATTTAACAGTGGTTAACTCCCAATGTGAAAGAGAATTATGTGAAATTACCAATTTTTATAATTTGAAACAGTGTAACTTTATTCCCAATAATTTTAACAGATTTTTAGATCTAATATTTTGTAATTTTGAGGTCGATGTAACACAAGTAATGAAGCGTTAGTTAACACTTTTAAAAATTAAAAACACTTTTTTTATTTATTTAAGATTTTTATTTTATTCAAGATACCTATTTATCAAGTAATAAATAAATACACAACACAAGAAAAGGCTTAATGCATAATGTTAAAGTAAACATTGTAATTGAAAATTTCTAAAATAGTTTTGAAAATTTCTTTTTTCTATTAAAAGGAGGAATGTTCTTGGTTCATTCACTTTCAGGTTTTCACTGGAAAGAAACCTTGCTACAGCACTAGAAGAGGTATCAGTTTTTTTTTCATAAAATCAATTACAATAAATATTATTTTGGTGTAGGTAATTTTTTTGCATTATAGTTTTGATTTATATAAGAGGCAATTTTGTATCAATGAAATCTTTAACGTCCCGTAGTTCCTCATCAGAAGATGTGTGCATTAATCCACGGTACGATTTAAAATCAGTATCTTTTAAGAAATTTTTAAGAACGGATGATGTCATTTGCCCTAATTTATATGGCACAACTGGATCACAATCACCGTGACATAATAAAACCTAAAAAATATTTATTATATCAGTAATTAAATTCTAGTTTTAATTTTTTTTAATAAGTACTGGTAAATCAGTAGGGCACACCATGTCCATAGGAAAACTCTTGTGCAAAGGAAGCCAACAAGAAAGTGCAACCACACCTGCTACTTTTTGAGGAAAACGTAATGCTGAGTATAAAGCTAATGCTCCACCTTGAGAAAATCCACCTAAAATAATACGATCTGCAGACAGGCCAGCTTTTATTTCAGTTTCTATCATTCCATGAACTAGTTTACAAGCCGCTTTTATACCTAAAATATGAAATTATGATTAGAAAATCAAAATTAACATAAAAAAATAACCATCTTCATCTTCAGGTCCTCCAATATCTAAAGATTTTAAATCGAACCAACTTGGCATTCGATAACCAGCATTTAAAGTTACCGGCATGGTAGGAGCAGTGGGACACACAACTTTAACATGTGGTGCACGAATTGCAGCCATAGCACTTGCCCACCCAGCACTAAATCAAAAAATTGATTACTTTATTTTCTTCTAATTACAAATCTAAAATATACATTGTTTCTAATAGAACCTACCCCGTATCTCCAAGTCCATGCAAGAAAATTATCTACAACAAATTGATAATAATTAGATTATAACCTCAAAACATGATAGCATTATAAAAGATGAGATATACGTACGGTTGCGGTGTGTTTTGCGGAAGCTGCAATAACAACGGGTGCTGCCATTTTCCTTTTTTTTCGGCACCGATAAAAACAGAAAATGTATTTAAAACAAATTTTTCCGTTTTTAGAAGATTTTTTTTATAAAAATTAGCAGCAGTGAAATGATCTGTCAACTGTCAACGTTGTCAATTTTACTACCAACGAAATGATAATGAAAACGAAAATATCCCTAGAATTGATTATTGTTTTTTTTAATAAAACAAAAATCTTTAATCTTTAAATGGCCATTTTTATATGTGCCGGTAGAGGTTAGTTTTTACCCAAAATACAACTTAATGGCAAATTATTATGGAAAAGTGAATACACAGAATTGAAGGACACACATTTTTCTACACATTGAAGTGCTCCGCGTTGTAAAATTGCTGTATTTGTAACATAAAAAAAATCCTAATGTTTGTCATAAATAACACTTGATGTAAAGCTACTTTTACGAGAAATTAAACATTAAATTGAGATGCCAACGCTTCAAGGATACTAGTAGAATGTAGGAAGAGATCAAGGTTTATATATTAAAGGTTGTCTAAGTTCCTATGCTGCAATATTTTGATTTTAGTTTATGGGCGAGGGGCAAGAGCAGGAGTGTTTCGTGACGTAAGCTATCACGGATTGCGCACGCAACCTTATGGCCATGTGGTGCTCCATGCCTTTGTTTAATTTGAATTGCTTGGCGGTATTATTTTCCACATGTGACGTATGCGCAGTATGATTGCGTACGAACCTAGACAACCTCTTATATATAAACCTTGGGAAGAGATTACGTGTAAGTAGACGTAAAATTGAATTGTTATTATCTCGAAATTTGGGTAAAACGAAAAATGAGCGATTTCATCAAAATATTGGGAATTGGGAAATCTGTATAAATCAGTAAAACTAAGCTTTGCCATTCGCCTCATAGATGGCGCTAATTAGTAAATTTTTTTTTCAATGTAATTTAGTAAGTGGTTTGCGGATATTATGCGTATATTAATTGTATCGATATTTAAAAAAACAATATTCCGTCAGTAACAGTTGACAGCATAATATGTTCTTGTAGGCTATAAAAAAGCAGCAATAGTGGTCAGCAATTAAATCAAGGGTTATTAGAAAATATCTATGCAAATTGTTATTTGCTCAACAGAATTATACAAACAGTTAACATAAAAATAATATTTGTAAGCTATAATCTCAAAAGGTCTTCATTTTAAAATTATGGTCAGTGAATAATTTAAAATTTGCACAACTTTATTGAAAAAGTGATAATGATCGGGTAAAATGGGCGAAATTTCATAACAGAAGCGGACAATTGTATTAATTTTGTACTTAATTTTATACCTGGCCAAAATTTGATAAAATCCCGATTACGATTTCCTGTTCTATTACTAATATTGCTGCAGATATATTTAATGAAGTTGATAGTAAGCTGTTTACAAATAGTAAAAATTTTAAGAAATTAATTAAAAAAAAATTAAAAAATTGATTAAGTGAAATCGATCATGATTACCACAATTTTTCTCCACATAGATCGCCCCATATACACTAAAAAGGAAAATTATTTTTTAAACAGAATTATGTGTTGGTTCTATAATTTCTGGAAGCATGACGTCCAGAAAATCCATATAAAACGACTTCGATTTTGGCAACATGACGTTTTTCCATAATTCTGCATCTCTCCAATTATTTCAACAAATAGTAGTTCCTTGTCATTAATATATATAACAAAATAGCATTGGGCTCTCTGACAAATATTCAATTGCCCCTGTACCTGCAATTAATAAAAAAAATATTAATTATGGATATATATATTATAACAAAATTGGTAGTGTTTAATATTTTTATCTTTTTATTTGTTTAAGCACCATTGGATGTAATTTGATATGGGATATTATAAGAAAATACTTAATTGATAGAAGTAATTATAGTTTCTTTTTAGCCGTATTTCTCCATTGACATTTTCTAAGCATAAATATATAATTTAGGAGTAGTAACGGTCGTTACTGTTAGGAACTAAAGTAATTTATTGGGATACACGACCAACACGACAAAGGCTAGATAATTGAAAAGAGGCTTCCTTTTATCTTTACCGAGCTTTCGGAAATTTTATTTTTCCTTCTTCAGAGGTAACTACAATATTGAGAAAACAAAAGTTACAATAGTTAACAAACAAACATTTGAACAACTTACAAAAATGGATTGCATAAAGGAACTGAACCAAAGCTAAACATGAGGTCGCAAACTTTGAGCACTAGACATATCTTATAAAAACTATACTTCTAATAATTCACTAAAGGTGAGTAATTAAAGATCAAACGATACTAAAAATCATTACAAAGTTAATTTTGAAACTATTAAAATAAGTATTACTTACAATGAGAACACGTTAAAATTTTTCGTTAAAAGTTAAGACGCAATAAGTCACGTAAGTTTTTTATACCACAAAAACTGGAAAGAAACAAGGCTGGCCAACCGTCGTCACGGCAAAACACCAAATACACTAAAAGTAACCACTAGGTGGCGTTGAGAGGGGGAATAAAATTGAAAATATGAAAAAGGAAACAAAAACCGAAAAAGAACTAGAAAACCA